TCAATCAAATGTCTGTTGGTTTTTTCACTAACCAGCTCTATAACTCCGAACAAGTCACAAACTTCTCTTAATCCTTCTATTAAAAAAAAAAAGTATATATGGTGGGGAGAAGTGGTTTAGGTCAAAAAAATGGGGGAATATGCTAAACCTTCTTCAACTCTAAAGAGGGGTAAAAAACAGAAAGCAAGGAACTCTTAAAAGATCAGATTAGAAACAGCAAATGTTTTAAATGAGAGAAGCAACAGTTAACAGTTCTAGGCTTTACTGTCTAAAGAGTGTTTTACATGTAGCATTATATGTACTCCTCACAACAAGAGGCAGAAAAGACAGGTATCCTTTAACACCATTTTACAAATGGAGGAACTGAGGTTCACAGAGATTAAGAAACTAGCCAAGAGAGGTGCCTGTGGCTCAAAGGAGTAAGGGCACTGGCCCCATATGCCAGAGGTGGGGGGTTCAAACCCAGCCCCGGCCAAAAACTGCAAAAAAAAAAAAAAAAAGAGAGACTAGCCAAAGGACACAGAAACAGACCCAGGACCTAAACCAGATTTTAAAACAACACAAAATCCATCATCTTTAAGATGACCTCCTCTCCCTCCTAAGGTTTTATAGAGTATTTTTGTGACTTACAAGTAAACATATAAAAAATATTTTATTTAAAAATAAAATCCCTTCAGGATTAAAGATTTTGTACTCACTGTACAAAATGTTCTCCTACAAAGCTGAATTTGGTTCTGTTGCAACCTATTAAGGCCACCCTTTCAGTCCACATGAATCTCCTTTATAGGTGGCAGAATCACTGCAACTGCAGTTATTTTCAGCCTTTGGGCATAAGAATAACTGACTCTGATCTTGAATTCTAATGTAAATACTAAACCATTAAGCAAGCTGCTTGTTTATGCTGTTTATCTTTATCCTGGATGCCAAAATAAAGAGACTGGCAAAAGAAGAGAGAGAACTAAATTTGGTTTGGTTTTTTATTTACTTATTTAGGTTTAAACAACAGTTTATTCTCTCATAGTTCTAGAGCAGTGGTTCTCAACCTTCCTAATGTTGCAACCCTTTAACATAGTTCCTGTCGGTCACAACCCACACAGGGTGAGAACTGCTGTTCTAGAGGCTGGATTTCTTGAGATCAGGATGCCAGCATGGTCAGATTCTGGGGAAGGTTCTTCCTGGGTCAGTTTTGTTTTCAACATCTAAGAGGACTGTCAGCACATCTCTATGGTAGTAATAATAAAGCAGCAAAATTTTCTTCATTCTATTTCCTCTAAAAACCATAATCAGTCAGAGCTAACCAATTAACTATAGTAACAGTGAAAAATCTTAGTACTGTAATCTATTATTTACTGGTCTCAACCTATTTTATTACTCCTCTCTTTAGTTACATTTTAACTGAACAAATGAAGTTTTAGATTAATTTCCAAAAAATTTTATGTATATCATACTAGTATTTTTATTTCAATGGGCAAATTTTTTCCTTCAGAGTGGCTAGGAAATTCCAACATTTTCCCATGAGCCTCACTCCCATGCTTTCCTCTTCTTCCTAAGACCCTAAGTCAAGGCACACTTGTGGCAACAGCAGATGATGGTTCTTTTCTACTGGACACCACTGTCAGTCTTCTTTATGAAAAAAAAAATGTATGACTTACTCAAGGGGCAATTTAAGGGCAAAAAGGGGAAAATCTCAAAAAGAAGAACAGAGAAAGTAGAAACCAGAGCTCAATTACATCAGTGGCTACAATTATGTTTCTGTTTTTCTGCTGTATTACTTCATCCTTCCCTTGTGGTTCCTTTTTTAAAGTAGCTGGATAAACAGTGGCCAGATGAGCATGTCTGAAGAAACAAGTCCAGAGAAACCAAAGCCTGTACTGAATAAGCCAAAGCCAATCATATATAGATAACATATCATATCAGGAGATAAACTATCAGACTCTGAGATCAATACACAAAGAACATGAAATACAGATAATGTAAATAAAAACAGCGTAAGATTTTTAGTCAAAATGCTGCATTTAAGTCGTGGTATACTGCAGAATTTTCAACAAGTAAACTGACCTTCCTGAGTCATATTTTTCTAATCTATAATATATGTCATGTACTAATATAATCTATACACCACCAACCTTCCTACAACTGTCAAAGTCAAAATGAGAAAAATACTACCCCTTTGAGGCAAGTAACTTTTAAAATCAGTGTGTAATGAAAGATAATAAAATTCTTACTTGAAGGCTCCCTCCGCAATCACTATAACCATATTCTCATACTTGTTAAGAGTCAGACTCAGAGACCCTAATGGCAACATACTGGCATGAACATGATTCAAGTGGATAAGTACAAAGTGGCTTTTAAACTTCTATCTTAAACAAACACTGCACATCATTATCCAGTCACCTAATAAAAAAAATTTATATAGCCCAACCATAGAAAAATTTATATAGCCCAACCATAGAGTATGATTATTCATATAAAAAGAAAATGCCATTCACCCACTATCAACAAAATAGATAGAAAATTGTAGTTCCAGTAGTGTACTAGATAATCTACATCTTCTCATCTGATATTCTACCTACCTATATCTAATGTAATTGAACAAGCATGAGCCTGATGCCTGAATGACCTAAGTTTAAATAGTATCTAAGTATTCAAGTTTCAGGCCAATTCTGACCTGAAATTTCCTTAAATTAGAATAATGCTAGTTATTTTACAGGATTAAGATTATTGCAATCCTATCTCTTTTTTTTTTTTTTTTTTGAGACAGAGCCTCAAGCTGTCGCCCTGGGTAGGGTACCATGGCATCACAGCTCACAGCAACCTCCAACTCCTGGGCCCAAGCAAGTCTCCTGCCTCCGCCTCCCAAGTAGCTGGGACTACAGGCGCCTGCCACAATGCCTGGCTATTTTTCGGTTGCAGCCATCCTTGTTGTTTGGCAGGCCCGGGCTGGATTCGAACCCGCCAGCTCAGGTGTATGTGGCTGGTGCCTGAGCCGCTTGAGCCACAGGTGCCAAGCCTAGCACCCTTGTTTTTTTTAGGAATACTTAAATTACATGTTCAAACATGATTACCAAAAAACTCTTTTAGCCAATAAAGTACAAGGAAAGGAATCCCCTAAGGTCATTCATAGAACCTAAAATTCTGTTCTAAAATTAATATAAGCACGAGATCAAATCCAAAGAGTTTAAAATCCATTCTTCCTTCAGCTAGTCCCTTATTACATGACATATACAGGTAAGAGAATTAAAATCCCAAATACCGTTTCCTTTAGCCACTAGGACTCGAGAGGGGGGGAGACAGCTGTTTTTTAACAGCACCCTTAGGAGAAGTGACTTCCTAAAAGTCAGGCTTGTGCTGTCCTTTCCCTGAGAAGGACAGGTGAAAACAGAAACACAGAAAAAAGCTTCAGCTTAACTTGGATAACTAAATTGACTAAAGAAAACAGATCAATTTTGGTCATCTTCTTCATGACTCCAACTTAAGCTTCTGCCCCAACTATACACTGTGGTCAATCTTCATAGCCCTAGTCCCACAAATTAATTTCTTTCCTGCTCTAGAGTTCACAACTTTGTTCAAATGATTTGATCCATGACAAAGGATTTTAAAAATATATACATTAGTGAGAATCTCATGAAAGAATGAGACTGATCCTGTTTCCTTCCATTTTAATTTTATGCAACTGTTCATTATTTTTGAGAATATATGATATTAAGACACGTGCCTTCATCCAGCAATGAAGTGGCAATACATAAATTAGACTATACTGTATTTTTCTCCACAAAACTTTCATGTTTATAACTTTCTTCATTGCCTATGCTCAGCCTTTCAAGCAGCCTGAAAATCAACTGATTGTGAAAACACATGGTCTGACACATATTCCCACACAAAAGAACTACTGGGAAGAGTCAATGTGTACAAACATCTCCCAAGATAATGTCTCAAAACTCATCAAATCAGACACAGATTAATGGTGGAAGAGGGTGGAAAAGGGTGGCCTTGGAGGAGCCAAATACAAGAAAAAATTAAGATCTGGAAAGGAAAATAAAAGAACTGCAATAGAGTATTAAGGGGTAAAGAGTGAGTCTATCTATTGTTTACCGTATTGAGGTACGAAAGAGGGAACAGACTGGCTAGGAGAAAAATTACAACACTAAAGAGAAAACAAAAGACCAAATTGAGATTTATAAATGAGTCCTCCTGCTCCAATTGTGTGTGGGGCAGGGGGGCGGGAAGGGGTCCCCAGGAAGCTACAAAACAGTTCTTTTTCAACAGAAGGGTTACATTTACAAAGCAAATAAAGGAAACCTGTGCTAAAAATGCAACCTACCTACACCGAGAGATAGAAAACGGAAATACTTCTTTCCCGGTTTTGTAGTGGGTTTCAAAACAGTAGGAACAGGGAGAGGGATAAAAGCTATTAGAGGGGGAGGGGGGGAGCAGCCAAGCTCTTCCTGAATACAGTATTTGCACTAAAGTCTAATTTCACATTTACCTTTTGATGGTCAGCTGGCAGATTCTTAACTAAACGCACAGCATCGGACTGTAAATCAGAATGTGATGAGTGTTTCAATCATAGGGACTTAAGAGTTTATACAAACACAAGGCAGATGCAGAAACAGCGACTAGGCTTGGGTGGTACTCTAACATCCCCCAGTGAGCGGCTATGTCTCCAAAAAGATTTGAATTGTGTCCAATAGTGGAGTGAAAGAAAGAAAACAGTAAAGTTAAAGGGAAATAGTAGTGCCTAAGTTTAGCCAGAAAACCATGCAATTAGTGGGAAAAGTTTGCGAAACAGGCAGCAAGTGGAAAGTAGTGGACACTGAGAAGGGAGGCTAACTGGATAAGCACCTACCTACGGATTATATCCGTTTTCTTTATGGGGTGTTACCCAAGAAGCAATCGCTTTACACAGAGGAATCCTGTTCCTCCCCCTAAGCAGTTCGAGTCACAGAAGAGGCTGCCCGCCGCGCAGGGACGTCCAGCGCAAGCCCCCGGCGCACACTTACTTTCGTCCGGCCATTGATTTTGTAGTTGCCCAGCTTCCCGTTACAGTGGCGGATCAGGTCGTCCATGCTGCTCATGAGCAGCCCGATGGTCTCACAGCCGGGCTCCTTGCCCTCGATCCAGGTGATCTTATCGCCCCGGATGTCCTTGGACGAGTCGCTCTTCTGGCTGACCAGCTGCCCGTCCGTGAACTTGCCGGTGTCGTGCAGAGCGCGCACCTCGTCGCCGATCTGCTGGCCTGTCTCCTTGCCCAGGAAGTCGTCTACCACACAGATACCGTGCTTGTTCATGCAGGGCACGATGTACTCGAGCGCCAACTTCAGCGCCGGCAGCGGCTTCGTCTGCCCGTTGGGCCGCAGGCCGCCGCCGTGGCTCAGCCCGTCGCCGGGCGCGTAGCTCGGGGGGCACAGGTTCGCCTTCTCCTGACACAGCGACGGGCGGGCCAGCGGCTCCTCCTTCCCGGGCTCTGCCTCGGCCGCCGCCGTCGGGCCCTGGCTGCCGGGGGCCGCGCGAGGCGGAGGCGCGGCCGCCGCGGTGTCGGCCGCGGGCTTGGCCTTCGCCTTGGCAGCGTCCCGAGCGGCCGACGATGCGGCGGCGCCGTCCCGGAGCGCTACTGCCTTCTTGGCTTCCCGGGCCCCAGCCCTGGGCGGCGGCGCGGCAGCCGGCGGCGCGGGGCCGGAGTGCTGGTGCGGGCCCGCTCCGTGACCGCCCTCGCTGCCCTGGCACACGAGCTTGTGCTTCTTCCAGTCCTGGCGCTGGTGCTCTTTGCAGCAGTAGAAGGAGCTGCGGCAGCGACTGCAGCGCAGCAGGTTCTCCATCTTCCCGCACAGCTCGCAGTACTGCCGGTCTCGCTCGCTCGGGCTCGGGCCGCCGGGCCCGCCGCTGTCATTGGCCATGGCGGCGGCCGAGCAGGAGGGGTAGCGGCCGGACGGCCTCGCCCGGAGCCGGGGAGCCGGGGGTAGAGAAAAGAGCCGCTACAGAGCCATGCAGCCGCCACCCCTCGCCTCAGGGAGGCCGGCAGCCCGCGCCCTCGGCCCGGCCGCTTCCGAGCCCTCGGGTCCCGCACGGCGGTGGCGGCGGCGGCCGCCTCAGAGCTTCATGCCTCCGCGGGCCGGGGG